CTTCATTCTTTTGGGACACTCTGGCTTCTCGTTTGGTCTCCACCTACTACCCCCCCTCCTCCCCACCTCCACTGCACTCAGCAGGGCTTTGCCACAGGGGCTGTCACCACGCTTTATATGCCTAGTCTCTGGCTCAGGTGCACCCACTCACTCACACCCCACCCCACCCCAGTGCTGCCACCAGGCACGCATGTAAGACCACAGGTGTCTATCATTGATACTGATGGCAGGAGGGCGGGGAAAACCTGATCATGTCCATTTACCCTACAGGAGTCAGGCAAACCTTCACCACTTCTAACCTCTCTGGCTGATTATCAACCAAAAAGAATGGACATGACCAAATTAAATCAGTCTGCAGCACTTTTTGCCTCCCCAGAGTATTTCCTTGGAGGACAGCAAGTGCCCTCCCTGCCTCCAGAAGCACCGATCTCTGTCTCCTTGTAGCTCCCCACTCCTACACCTTGTAGCTCTAGAACCCTTCCCCACCCCCCTTCCTCCAATCTTCATGCAGTGGTGATAACACCCTAGGAACAGAGTTGAGAACTCAAAAAACTAAAATAGTTTTCCACCCACCAAGCCAGGGCCTTCATTCTTTTATCTCCTTCTCCACCTACTCCCCCCCCCACCAGCCCACCTCCTCTCCCACCCACCCCCCAACCCTTTACTCCAATATAATTTCTTGGGAAGCTTACACTTTTATAGAACAAAACCAGAAAGGGGGTGTCTCCAAGCTGCTTCTGCTCTTTAAGTCTCTCTGCAGATCAGGAAGCCTTAAGAGGCTGACTGACTGATTTGGAAATTGCTAGCTGCTTTGGGTGGGTCCTGTAGACTGCTCAGACAGGCTGTGCTGGATATAAACTGATTGCCCCTCCAGACTCACCCTCCGCCCGCTCCACCCTGCTTTGTGCTCTGGGAAGCTGACTTATATGAACTGTAACACCCAGACACTCATGCCTTCTAGCGTCCACTTTGTTTTGTCAGTGGGAGGAACTAGAGCTTGAGAAGATGGGAGGAAAAAGAAGTTGGATATTCTTTTCTCTGCTGGCCATGGTTAACTCTTTTTGAAAGGGTTCTGCTCCTGAGAGGCAGCCCTTTCTAGTGCTAAAGATCTGTTATGGGTTTGATATATGGGATATAAGAAGATATACTGGAATTACCCCTGCCCCGATATATTAGAGTCCTAACCCCCAATAACTTAGACATGACCTTAAGTGAGGTAGGGTCTTTCGAGTGATAATCCAGTTAAAATGAGATTAGGAATCACTCTAAACCAATGTGACTGATATCCATGCTAAAACAGGAAATTTGGACCTCAAGAGTCAAGCATAGGGGAAAATTATGTGAAGCAACACAGAAAAGACATCTATAAGCTAAGAAAGAGGACAGATTCTCCCTCACAGTCCTCAGAAGGAACAAACCTTGCTAACACCTGATTTTGAACTCCTGGCCTCCGGAACTGTGAGAAAAGGAATTTCTGTTGCCTCAGCCACCCAGTTTCTGTTACTTTGTTATGGCAATCCCAGGTTAATACAAGCACTCTTGAGTTCTTTCCCTTTAGCCCCACCAACACTTAAGCCCCTTCATTCAGTTCTCATCTTTTCTCCTGTTTTCTCCATGTTTCCTGATACTCAAGCCAAAACTATATTTTCCTAACATGCTTTACAAAACTGTCACAAAGGCAAAACAAAGTTCTGCTGGGGTTCTCCAATTCTGCAGACACGTACTAGGAATACATCTTATTCGAAACAAAACCTCTGACATATCTTCAGTTTGTTCTGTTGTCCATGTAGGGGGAGTACTACTTTGAATTTAAATCAGATCAAAACTGGACAAAATGTAAGAGTCTGTGATAATCAAGGCAGGAAATGTTGAGTATGATGAAACATATGCCCTAAATTTTAAACTAGATTTCAAAATTTCAAGGATATGTTAGGGAAGATCGCAGGGAAGTCTGAAAATTAAGCTAGCTCAAGAGGAATGGGATCTTTTCAACAATTAAATCCTGACAGTGTCCATGAATAGCGAAAAACACTGTGGCTCATATTCTCTGAATAATTCCACTTTTAAAAGGATTTGCAGAAAAACAGTTGCAGCAAGGGGCGTGCATATTATTAAGGATGTATACTAAAGAATACCTACTTTTAAGAATTATTTCCAGAAGGGTAAAATCCAGAACAGATCAAGTTCTATGAAGTGGAGGTGGAGTGGGAGGGGGAGTGATTTTTTTGTTTTTGTTTTTAAAGATTTATTTGTCCATACAGAGCTGAGGTACAGGCCAGAGGTGCAGGGGCGGTGAGAGGATTCACCAGAGACAGAGTAGGGAGCAGACCAGGCAGATCAACTGCTGAGGGGAGCAGCGGGCTGGTCAGGAGAGGTCTGCTGCGCCATGTGGTCACCTCTGGGGCAGGTGGGGATCGAACTCATGCTGAAGTGGCTGTGCTTTAACCCGCTGAGCCACCAGGGAGGGCCCAAGGGGGAGTGGTTTTTAAAGTTACATTTAAATCAAGCTCAATAAAGGAATAGGTTTAAAATAGAGAGGAAAACTAACTTCAAACTAACTTCTATGAACAATTATAGAGATCCTAGAAAATATGTGGGGAAATCTGAGCATGCTGGGAGGTGGAGGGAAAAAAAGGAAAAATGGTCAATTATCAGAATCCATTCTGGTGAACTTAATGTTGATTCTGGAAAAATTCTCAAATGAGTTCTTAAATGGCTGGTTAGTAAACTCTTAGAAAGAGAAGCAATTGTCACACAGAGTCAGAATAGGGATGATGGATTCATGCTGTTCTAAACTTCTTTCTTTTTTGATGGATTTGCAATAGCCATTTGAGTTTTAGCGTGGTCCTCCTATTATCACTGTGTATTTTTCTCTCTTATCCAGACCTTTCTCATGAACTAAGTATCCTTTATTCTTAGCTTAGACAAATATTTGAGCACCCCCTAAGAGCTGGGCACTGTGCTAGGCACGGAGGTTGCATTAAGGAAACCCTAAACAGGGGCTACTTTTTCTAGATCACATGTGATTTTCTTGAGCTAGCAGCATCTTCAGTGTCTCTCTGGCTTCACTGCCCCAACTCTGATATTGTTTTCAGGTATAGAGTGGAGTGGAAACTGCCAACAGGTGCTGGGCTCTTTTGTAATGTGCCCAGAAATGCTATCATTCAGGTTCTATGCAAGATATTAATTATCTAAATTTCAAATTTGGCAGCCCTACCTTTCCAGCCTCACATTCCACTGCATCCTTTCAGTCATTACCAGCCCCAGCCCTGCCCAAAAGTTTGAGTCTATGCCTTTTTTTTTTCCAGTCAGGAATGCCTGACATCTCCTTCTCCACCTATGGAAATCCTATCTATTTCTCAAGACACATCTCAAAAGTTACCTCCTCCCATTCAGCACTTAGTTTGCTCAATAAATCCCACCCAAGGGCCTCCCTGGTGGCCCAGCTGTTAAAAACGGCGTTATCAAGCTATCTCCAGCCACTGCAGCCTGAGTTCCATCCCTGTGGGCCAAGGCGCTAATCCACATGGCACAGCAGACCCCTCCTGGTCTCCCCTACTCCTCCCCTGAGCAGTGTATTTCAGTAGATCCACCTGTTCTGCTCTCACTCTGTCTCTGGTGAATCCTCTCACCACCCCTGCACCTCTGGCCTGTACCCCAATTCTTATATGCATAAATAAATCTTTTTAAAAAAAATTAAAAAACATCCCACCCAAGTCCCTAGTTAGACATGCCTACCACTGTTGAACTTTCCTCTTCCTTTCTCAGGCAATTACTTACATGTCTGTTTTCCCCAGTGGAGTCTAACTTCTGTTAGGACAAGGTCCTTCAGAAAGCACACCCCATGCAGCTACAATACTTTACAACTCGGGTTGGCAAATTAAAGCTTGAAGTAAGAATGGTTTTTTAAAAAGGGGGGGTTGAAATCAAAAGAAGAGTATTTTGGGACACAAAAAAATTACATGAATTCAAGTTCAGGGTCCATCTATAAAGTTTATTGTCCTGCAGACAGCCCTTGTTTTCTGATGACTGCTTCTGAGTGGAGAAGACAAGCTTATGACCCACAGCCTACTTGTTTACTACTTCACTCTTGCAGGAAATTTTTACTAACTCTGCTTTATAATAAAAGTTTGATCATTGAGGTCCAAATTCTAAGTATATATTCTTACACGTCCCCTTCAAGTTTTATATTTTACTCTGGAGATAATGATCTTGCCTTTAAATTGTTAGGAACATCCAATAAAATAATGCGCTTCTGAAAGGATGGAGATACTCCTATAAGTAAAAAACCATTTATTATGTACTGAAAAGATGATCAAACGGGGAAATGAGGCAACATTTCACCTTCTTATGCTCCCTCTTCCTCCTTTTAGGGTCTTTATTTACACCACAAATTCTAAGAGAAACTTCATTTGTGAAGTTTTCACTCTTAATGGGACGATGCGGTCACAGGTTCCTTCCTTCCAGTCTTTCTTTTGTGTTACCCCCACTTCCGTCCCCCTCATTTTCTTTGTATGGTATCTCAGTTGGGCCTCTCAGTAGTTCAGCCAAGGGACTGGGACACGCCTGATTAATCCATTTTACAGACCAGGAAACTAAAACCAAGATTGCTGTTGGCTGCCGAGCTCTGACCCAACACGCAGGGACCCTCAGTGCCACACTCTTCTCTGCGGAGAGGCAGCCGCCGGGCAAACAGAGCAAAGCCGACCCAGCCAGTCGCGCGCGCCCGGTTCCCCGACACCCCTTCAGCATTCACATTCGGAATTCTTTCATTCCTCCAGCCCCCGCCCTAGTGCTCCCCCTCCCCCAGCCTTTCTGCCCCCCCTTCTCGGGAGCAGGTGGTAGGCTCCGCGCTCAACACGCAGGCGCGCGTCGTCGTGGGGGCGGGGGCGGGGCGGGAACTGGGGGCGGGGTGTGCGCGGGCTTGATTTGGGGCCGCGGCGGGAGCCAGAGTCTCCGCCACTCGAGTGCGCAAGCGCCTGGCGGTTACCGGTCTCGCCATGGAGCGGAAAGGTGAGCGGTAGAGCGGCCTCCGCCACGAGGGGCAACGGCCACCGGCCACCGGGGCGAGGCCCAGGTCTGCGCCGAAGGTTCCCCTAACCGCCGCAGTCCGGTCCCGGGGCGTGCAGCGCCCCTCCTCGGAGGTGGCGCCGCCCCTCACCCCCCGCTTCGGGGCTGCGGGTTCGCGCCCCCCAATCCCGGCGTCCTTCCGCGCCGGTAGTCATCGCCCCTTGTTCCCTGCCAGGTCGGCCAGCTTCTTGGGGCCGCTCCAGGGCTGGGCCCCCGGGCGAGGCAGACTCCCACCCGTCTGCCCCCCGACTCGGCCGGAGCATCGGCCGGCGCATCCCGACTGGGTGCTGCTCTGCGCCCGGTGGGCCGCCAGCAGCCCGACCGGCCGCACCCCCGAAGCCGCTGCGCTCGCCCCGAAGCAGCCCCGCAGGCAGGCCACGCACCCGGGCCTGGCGCCCTTGCGAGGTCTGCACCCTCACCTTGGTCGCCTCCTTTCCTCCACGTTCGCCCTTCATCCATACCTCTCTCCTGCAGTGCTTGCGCTCCAGGCCCGAAAGAAAAGGACCAAGGCCAAGAAGGACAAAGCCCAAAGGAAGTGAGTCTTGTACCCCAACATCCCACTCTTTGGATTTCCTCCGGCATCTCCTCCTCTGGGTTCACGTCTTGAGCGCGCACTGGGTCCGGACACCCTGCGGCCCAAGCCACATGGCCTCGGGACGGCCTTGGGGGGCCGCCCTCCAGGAACCATGTGGAAGCGAGATTCTGTTGCTGAAGGCCAGAGCTGGGTCTCAGCAGCCCTAGGCTTGCTGGAAAGGGCTCTTGGAGGAAGACCAAAGCCCGTGCCCAGTTCCAGAAAGGAAGCACAAGCTCCCCTAGCCCGGGCCGCCCACCGGAGCTGGTAGATCATTATCAGCCTGTGGACTCTGGTCTTTTCCCCTAACTGCGTCCCCACCGCCTTAACTTGCCGTCTCCGACTGCACGCTGGGCCGGCTGGGAATCCTTGGATGAGTTTTCCGTAATCTGGGCAGCCAACCACTCGCTCCCTTTCTTAGGGAGCGCTTGGAGCTTCCCCCTAGGTTAGTCAACTTCCTGAGCCTGCGGGGCGCCGCGCCCTCCCTGCAGTGGTGCCCGCGGACCACTGCGCGGGCTGCCGGTGCCTGTCCGGAGCCGAAGGCAGAGCTCTTGGCAGGAGCTGCTGGTCGTAGCCGGAAAGTTCTCTGACCCGGCGTTGGTAATTCTGGTTTGATGTGTTTAGTGTCCCATGTCCGGTTTAAACGGCAGGATGCCTAGCTGTGGTTTAGCACTGTTAGGGGAAACACAAAAGTTGGCCGCAGCTAGTAGAAACGCCCTGTAGAGGGCTTCTGCAAGTGAGGTTTCGTCTAGAGAACTTTAGTCTTGTGCTTATGTCCAATGATGACGGGTGTTGGAAATCAGCATTTTAGACAGCTCCCCCCACCCCCCAGGAAAAGAAATGGATCATTTCATTGACACTGTCATTTAATTGATGTTTATGTGGTATTGTATCAGGCCTCATTCTCTTTGCTCTGATAAGACACATGGCTTTCCTAGGTTGCCTTTCTGAAGGACAGTGCCAGAGGGGGGTGTGTGTGTTTTGTCTCGTGTCACTTGTTACCTAATGTTTGAAGAGAGCTCATTATGACTTCCTTCTGAGGAACTGAAGTGATAGGTAACCTCACCTCTTTGCTCCATTTCTTTCACTATCTTAAGAATTTTTTTATTTTGTAAAGTGCTTGGTGACCAAGACATTTACATGTAAATTTGGTTGTAGGTGTCTGTTTATTTGTCTCTTGATGATCTATGTATGGATTACTCAAAAACCAGTTTTTATCCTAGGCCAGTTTAATGAGAACAGCAAGGAGCTAACCTGGTTCTATTTTGCATTGGGAATTAAATGTTACTCCTTGTGTGTGTGTGTGTGTGTGTGTGTGTGTGTGTCTTAGTTTTGTTGTTCCCTGTGGAGTTAATATGAATGTGTTACAAAACTCTCCCTGTGGAACTTAATCTTTATATTAGCCTGATTCAACCTATAATTTGTGAGGTAATTCAGTTTGGATGATCATATACTTTATTTTTGACATCATGTATTCTTTACTTTGGATTATCTATTTAAACCATGTACTTTGTTTCCAGTGCCAAATTAGATATGTGCTTAGGTTATCTTTTACTCCATTCACTACTCTTGGTGGGGGCAACCCATACCCAGTTGTATTTGTATTCTTAATTATTTCCATACTTGCACAAAAGCAAGTGAGCAATATAATAATCTAGCACTTAACTATTGCATCTTGCACAACTTTGACTCCTGAAAAAAACGTGAATGAATCACCTTTTTACTTGTAATTTCAGAGATGCTTTTTTTTTTTTTTGTCTCCAGTTAACTAGTCTTAAGTCTTGTAGTTTACCTTTTGTTTTCATTTCTCCAGCCTCCTTGTAAGTAGCTGAAATGTCTAATTAATTTACTTGGTTAGAGTACTGTGTCAGAGGTTCAAGCCCCACCTGACGCAGGTAACTTGACTCTGTTCCATGACTCTTGACTGAACTCCTTACTTCCACTCATTTAGTAAAGTAAAGCTGCTGCTAGTTATTAGATTGATCAGGGAGAGAAGGTCTGAGGAAGAAGCATGCCAGCAAGTTGGGGCTTCACAGTGAGTCAGATTTTGAATACTGAATTTGCTACCTCTTAGCATTCTCACCTTGAATGATTTAATTAAGGAAATATATATGTTGTTACTACTTGTAACACAGTCATAATGAAAACTGATCAGGACCAGATTACAAACCCAAGTATTTAAGTAGAAAATTTCAGAAGTGTTTGTAAGTGAAATGGTAAATAGTACTGACATCTAGTAATGTAGTCATTGTGTGGTGTGAGTAGAAAGGATTTGCAGTCCTCTGATTTTTGCAGATCTTAAAGCTGGAACCTGCATGTTCTAGAGGTGAAATGACCACTGGAGCTGGTCTCATAATGAGGCAAAACTGGAATTCATGACTTCTGCCTTCCTGCTTAGTGCTCTGTGTGGTTTATTTCCTTTGGGTTCTTTTGTTGTGCTGAAAAATTTGACCTTAGGAATTTTTAGTTGTCTTAGTTGAATTCCTTCTCCATTTCACCATTTCAGACTCTGTACTCTTTATTAACTAACATTAGCTAGTTGTTGATAATCACTTTTACTTTAGATCAATAGATTTTGAAATTGAGATTTGCCGGATTACTCCCCCAGAAATTGTAAAAAAAACTAGAATTCCAACCCAGGTCTGATAACCCTCAGAGCCCTGAATCCTAGTTAATGCTGTCTCAAAGTGACAGTTCTTTTGGTATGTCTGAAGATAAAAAAGATAGAGCTTGAGTGAACTGACTTCTGAATAATGGGCAGAAGATGACTGGGTGTTTCTAGGTGCCCTTCTGTGGCCACTGGCTGTCTCTAAAAGGTCACTGTGTACTAGCTCCTTAGACTGTTTCAAGATGTATATCAATAGCTATGTGTCTTTATCTGTTTGTCATAAGCTTGAATAAGAAGACACTTAATGTCTACTTTTTATTTTTTTAAAGATTTACCCATTATGAATACAAGAACGCGGGTACAGGACAGAAGTGCAGTTTGTGAGAAGCTTCACCAGAGACAGCGTGGGGAGCAAAACTGGCAGATTGACGAAACACACTGCTGAGGGGAGGGAGCGGCAGCGGGCCAGCTGGGAGGAGTCTGCAGCGCCATTTGGGTCACCTCCCTGGCTGGGGATCGAACTCTTGCTGCTATGGCTGCAGATAGATTCACAGTACTATGCTTTAACCCCCTTATGCCACTAGGGAGGGCCCATATCTGCTTTTTAAAATTGTGTCTCTGGAACATAATTCCAGAAGGGATTTCATATGTATTTTTATTGCTTAGAAAGTTAGTTTGGACAGAAATTTTTACTTACTTTATTTTTAGTTAAAGAATTTTGTGGGTTTAGGATTAATTTGGTAGTAGAAGTATTTGGTTTGCAGAAGTGCTTTTGCTCATGCTAAGATCCAATGAGCAGGAGGTGGTTTTATTGCTTAATTTTCTAAAAATGTAATTTTTTCATGGAAAATTTGGAAAGAAAATACTTTAAAATGCCCATCGTTTTAATATAGTAGAAGATTTGTTATAAAAACTTGAAATAACTTTTAAAAATTAAATGGTGTTAGGCACCTATTTTTTTACACTTAACAGTGTACTTTGGAAATTGGTTCTATGACAGTTTCTTATGGCATCATTACCTTTTTATGGCTCCTTACTTTAAGGTCTACCTTTTTTGTAAGACTTAGAAATGGTTTCAGTTCAGGACACAAGAGAATAGTTTTACCTCTCCTTATAGTAAATGGATGTACCTTAATGGTAAATTTATTAATCAACATTTATATACTTTCTAAGATAAAAATGAAGTTGTTGGTTATACTTTTTTCCATTTAACATTACCATGAACATTTTTCTAGTATTAAATACTACACATCTTTTAAATGTTCAATAGTAAGCTGAGTCCAATTTTTCACAGTGCACAGGAAAGATAAATCTTTTGCATAATCATTGCTCACATCTGTGATTTTCTTAGGGTGGAGTTTTAGTAGTGATTACTGGCATGTACATTTTAGGGAGTTTTTTTTTTTTTTTTTTTAATTCATATTGGCACTATGTTCTCCAGAAAGAGTTAACCCAATTTAGCTATGATGCATGAGTTTGTGAATACCTACCGTATCTCAAGCACTGTTTTCCATCCCTTTGATTATCAGTGGGAAAAACAAACACAAAACCTCTGCCTATAAGAGCTTTATTTTAATGAGGGAAGGTAGAATAAATGGTAGATTTAAATACATGGTATGTTAGATGGTTAATAAGGTAGAAAAATAGAGGAGGATAAGAGGGATTGACAACTGGGAATGGGGGTATAGTTTTAAATGGGGTGACCCAAGTCTCTGTAAAGAAGATGAACGTTGAAGGCAGTGAGAAGCCTGAGCCACGAGAGTATTGGGTGTGGGGATGTTCTTAGCTCTGACTTTGCTGCCTGAACTGGGCAGTATTAATTGAAAAAGCTCCAAATCTGATCATCTGTAAGCTATCTTTTTTTTCTTATTTATAAATAAATAAATAAGAATTTCTTTTTATTACCAATAGGTAAAAGGTTGACCATTGGGGGTACACGTATTGGTCTTTCTTCCATTTTTACTTTATATTGCATCGTTGATCTTTTCCTTGATTTTAAGAGCTGTTTGTTAAGCGTGTACCCTTTATCATGGGGACAGATTTGTGTTTTCACAACTTTTTGTTAGGGTTTCAAATTTCATTTATAATGACATTTTTGACATAAATTTATTTTTTTGAATGGCTAAGCTTTTACATTTTACTATTGAAATTTTTTTAAAAGATGTATTTGTTATGCATAGAGAACTGGGGTACAAGCCAGAGGTACAGGGCAGTGAGGGAACAGGCAGACTGACTGAAATACACTGCTGAGGGGAGCAGCTGGTGAGACAGGAGAGGTTTGCTGTGCCACGTGGGTCAGCTCCCTGGCTGGGGATTGAAATGCTGCAGTGGCTGTGGACAGCTTCATAGTGCTGCG